GTAGCCATATACCGAAACCAGCGACATTTCGGAACTCGATGATGCTCCAACTTGAAATGAAAGTTATAAGCGAAATCTTGCCACGAGACAGTAATCGTAAAGAATAGGAATAAGGGGAATGAAAATTGAGGACTATTTTACCCGAATAAAATTTCAGTCTGTATCTCTTTGTTTATCGAAAGATTTGAAATAATCGGTATATACCATTCGTGACTTATTTCTGCGTATGCATTTGTATCCAATAACTTTCCAATAGATTGCGATATTTATATATTAATATCTGTAATTACATATCTATATAAATTTTGACGAATAAAATAATCGGCGATTAAAATTAATTCTTTAGAGAAGTCCAGAAATATTTACCTCTACATCATTGAATTTCTCTCTGCTCGTCAGGTCCTACGCGAATATATCCATATACGATATTTTTATGGAATTATTACCTATATGCCTTTTGTTGCTGCACTCGAAAATAATTGATAGCGATCGCTATTATCCACTCAGGTTTTCTCCGTTAACAAGATATACGCAACGGCCATTCATACGAAACCATTTCGTTCTTTACTCTCCGTTCTTTGCTGCCCCATAATACCTTTTATTTGCGTAGCAGCAAATATGCAAATCTGCCAGCGAGCTGCGCCACGGTATATAACGGACCAATATTAACAGATACGTATCACGATCATTGCATGGAACCAAAAACGATAAAGCACGGCACAACCGGAACGTATCCATTCCGTGCACTCTCAGCGGGGGCAAACAGTAATTACAGAGCTCGCGTAGTCTTGGTCAACTCCGAGAAAATTCCGATACAATCTCCAGACCGTGCAAACTCTGGTCTCTACCTACAGCTTTCCTCTCTTTTATTTCTTCAGTTGCGACCGGCACCAACCTCAAGATGGCCGGTTTCTTCATTGTGCGCGTCCGCTGTTCACTCGTTGCTTCGTTTTATATTATTAAGTTTCTAACGTACCGAAAAGAGCCAGGCGAATGTGTTCCGGGCGTGGGATAACTCGAAGCAACGCTAATATTGCCGAAGATCTTGCCAAATTGTCGCAATAAGTGTCCCCGGCGACGGTGTGGCTTCTTGCGACACCGCATTCTGATATGTCCTAGTCGTGCTGTGGATGTTGCCGCGCAACCTGCTTCCTTCTACGGAGTGATTATCAACCACCCCGCGCTCTAGAGGTTAATCGAGCCACCACAGGAAGAAATTTCAGCTTCATTGCTCGTCGAGAAACTCCTTTCCCCTATCGTACGCTCGCGATAAAGCCGGCTCACCGACTATTTTCTCCACGGCTTCGTGACACGACTTTCTTCTTCTCTTTGCTTTCCCCCACGAGAAGTCTGATTATCCGCGAGATACTTCGTGAAAGACAGGTCGAAACTGTTGTCTAAGATGCTTCGTTGGAAGCATCGATACAATAGGACGGTGAGATTTGTAACTAACCTATACAAGTAGTAAAAGATGTACGATGACTCATGAAGGTATTTGCATACTCGTGGAAAGCTTTTATGAATGTGCTACGTGTATCGTATGACATTTTTTTAAATTTTGTTATTGATTATTAGGTAACAATTTAACAACGATTATCAATCGTTGCAAAAGTCGTTCTATTGTAATATTGTGGCTTATTGGTACAATGGGTAATTGGCTGTTCAAATATTAGATTTTGGTGATCGATTCAAGCCCATTTTAAATTTTGCAGATATAATTATAATAGTCGTGTCTCATTAAGATGAAAATAAAATTCGTAGAAAATGTCTTAAGTATTCGGATATTTACTCCAGTCACTGTACATTTGGTGGAATTGCTAAATGTCCTACTTATCTTAGTATAGAATACGAGCAAAATACTTTGTATTTCTTTATTTTCGCAACAAACGCTCGAAACGACTATCTCACGGATCTCCACTTATCAGTTTTGTAATACTAAAATTAAAAAGTTAAATATTAGTCATAAATTATTGGGCAAAGCCGACAACTCGTATCGGCACAGCTGATCAAACAGAGTATACAAAAATACGAGTATTTATAATTCAAGAACTTCGAGCACACACATGTGAATGAAATACTAAATACACTAATACGTTAATCTTCAGAAATAATCACAAACATGCATAAGTATAAGAAAATTATTTATGCATGTATCGAGTAATAGATCTATCAACTGTATCGAAGGTACTGCTATTTAAATAAATTCTTTTCCTCGCTATACCCATACTAACGCAAGTCGACGGTAAAAAGTATTAATACACTCTCGAACGATAATTATATGCTCTCCTCTTCGACTATCTTTTCTAATTACAAATATCGACTACTTAAAACACATACCCGTCACACACGCGAACATTAATTTAGACTGTTTTTAATTTAAGCGATTATTTTAGCCTTTGATCTCTTTGTAGATCCAAATTACGATACTTCGTACTAAAAAGTACGTACATCCATATTACGTTATAAAAAATATATATTGTACGCCGAATTTCATTCTCAATTGTCTTTTATTACAAAAAGTTTATTCAGCTTCACTATTAAATCAAAGAGAAATTTATATATTAAAGGATTTAAAATACCAAATTCTCAGTACAAATCATATTCAATGCACTATTCTCAAAATACGTTTCTCCAAGTAAATATCTTACAAAAAGCAATCCTCGAATCCTCGTTTCACCAGCTAAATAATTACACCCAAAATATAAACAGCGACCATTACCATGAATTTTCCATATCCTCGCCAGCAACTGTCAGTTTTTGGATACAGACAGAGAGCAATGTTTTCCAGTTTAATGCGACTCTTGGCTAAGATTCTTACCAAAACGAGGCAACGCTCTCATGCGCGCTACCATTCTGTAACAGGCGCGTAATACGCATTGCGTCACTTGGACGTAATGACTCTGTCGCAATAGTCGCGATGACATTACCGGTGCATTAAGGTTAATTCAATATCAGCCGTAGTTTCTCATCTTTGGCATCTTTGCTCGTCCGCATCCTCGCCGGCGCGGAGTATCGAACCGTTTCTCCTTTGTCCTCTGACGCTGAGGAAATAGTCGACCGAGTGAAACGAGCTTTCGCGACTAGCGCTCGTAAATGAATAAGGTGTCGGAAAGTTTATTGAATCGGAGCCATGGTTTTCGGATTAATCCTGCGGTTCGCTGAGACGCGCCGTGTCGCGGTAACCTGGCATCGACGAAAATTAAAACGCTCGTCCAAGATTGCTCCAACGATTTTCAGTGATTTTCTCGATACAAAAAAGATCGAAAAAATTGCTGCTTCAAATTATTTATGGAACGATTTACTTTATACTCCCAACGGATAATTTCAACACAGATAGTGCGTGGTTGGCAATTGGCGCTTGTAAATTGATAGTGAAAAACGGCGAGAATGTTTCGTGACAGGGGTGATATTTCCTTCTAATTTTATATTTTGTGCGCTACTTCATCGATTTCAGAAATTATGGTATTTAAGGGATTAAGGATTATTACAACTTATGAGATCCATATGGTTCTTCTTCTTCTGGTTTTGCGAAAGAAAATTGAAAAAATCTGACAAGAAACGCTAATTCTTTTTGTTCGTGAGGTGAAATATATAAGTGTACTAAATAATGTTGTGCTAGAATAGAAAATTAATATTTTTTATAAAATTAGTTTATTTAAATAAATTCTACTCTTTGAAATCGTTAAATGCGAACAATCTTCGAGCGATCAATATTTCGAAATATATTGGATAATAAATAATAGATGGCGAAAGTCGACGAAAAGATCGAAATTTTATATAAGCTATATAAGATTCAAAATCGTTGAATTCGACTTTACCTTTTATCGTTCTTCAGTTGAATATTCGAAATCGTACGAACCTTAACATTACAATTAATTTCCTTTTCTTGGAACGTTATTTGATAAAAGATCGCTATCAACCCCGGAAAAATAATTCTCAATAACAAAATCAAATATAAAGAATAGTTGCATCTTGTCTTGTACACAATTTTCTTCGTTCTTATATGTTTACCTAATTTCCTTCTTCTTTTCCCAATTCTTTACCAATCTCGATTACTCGCGTCCATTACCTTTTACCATTAATTATGACGTCGCTTGAACTGTCAAAGGAAATGATAATCCAGCGTTGATTTATTTTAGCTTCTCGCGTATCCGTATCCTGAACGAATATGACCACTGGATCGCGGAATAAAAATAACAGTCGAACGGATGACGGTGCAAGCAGCCAGTGACAGAAAAGTTATTGGATCGTGTCTGCGGTTTAATAGGATTATTGCAATGGCCAGTCGAAAGCTATCAGCTCACGCCGCGACGTCTCGAGGAGGTTCGAAATTAAACATTTCTTTCTCTCTCTCTTTCTCTTTCTCTGTGTCTTTCCAATGTCATCCTGGGAAATGTTTCTCTTCTCGGCTTATACGGATTTCTATCAGTTTCCCTGCAGAAGAGCATCGATATTTTGTCTCGTACGTTCTACACTCTGCTTCGATAAATCTCTCGACACACAGAATGTTTAAAACATTCTATTTCTCAGCAAATTTTCTCCCGCTTTTTTTCGAAACACCTCGTATATCTTCATAATTCTTGTTGAAGTTTTATTGATTTTCTAATAAGAAAAATGTTCGTACAAATTCACTAGATTGTAAAAATATACAGGGTATTTCTTGCTTTTCTCAACACGTTGTAGGAACATGATCTAAAGACGAAAAAGGAGGAAAAGAAGTTACATGGGGTTTAGCTGAAAACATTTTATTACAAAGTTACAATCAAATGTTAAGTGGAGCATAAAATGAATCTATACGTATTACGGAATACAAAAAATCTACCGTGTTTATTCTATCCGTTTTTATATTTTAATATTTTATATATTAATTATATATTAATCCGTTATTATATATTAATTATATATTAAATATTAATATATAATTAATCCGTTTTAATTTTATATATTAATATATTTTATATATTATTTTATATATTAATCCGTTTTATATATTATATATTAATATCTCGTATCTTCAAACAATTTGACACAACTGATACCTAATATACTTAATTTCTCGTATAAAAATGACATATTTTTGCGATGCCACTGTTGATAGGGATTAGACATCGATAATATAGAATTTATCGCATCTTGGATTTCTCGAAAATTTTTGCAGAATATCAACATCCGACTGAGTCATCTATCAACTTTCTAAATATTTTGCAATACAGAATCCGTTACTTTGTTGCAATATCCATTGCATGCTACGTTCAATATTTGCTTATGACTTTCTAATAAAGCGTTTGCAGCCAAGCTTCGAGTAAAATTCTTTTCATACTCTCGCACGAGAAAAGCGGAAAACAGAGAAAATCGTCACGTATATCGTGCAATTATATATACAGGATATATACATATTTTATTTTACAATACATATTTTATACAGTGATATTACTCATCGATGATACCATACATTTACCTCTCCTGAAAAATTAATTCACATATTCTCCATTATTTTAAAATGCGTTTCAAATTCAAGACGTTTCGAAGAAGACTGTTCTACTATAAAATCTACGGGAACTTGAAATTCTTTCAGAATATCACAAAGGAAGCTGCATTACAATGCAGCAAATATTACAAGTGAGTCGTAATATATCCTACATCGCGTTACGATCTCGAATACACGGGAAATCAAGATATACTGGTTATGTCGGTGATCCAATCTTTCAGTTCTGCTATAGCTGTAAAAGCAGTTGGATACTGCCTGTCGCATGATCGACTCCAGGATACCACCCCTGTAAATGTCAACAACGTCGCTCATAATCGATAAACGTGTCGAATATCGAAATGAGACACGATTGATATTGATTTAAAATAATTAAAACACACGGCTGAAGAAACAAGCATGTTCAAGAATGGATCAGTCAAACAGAATGTGCTCCATATTATGAAGAAAAGGGAGATCAAATTTTAACGAATATTCAAACTCACCGAATAATGTGCCCTGAAAAATGAGAGGCGAGCCAGAATCCCCAACGCAGGGTCTAGCAGTGTCCGATAAGGCACAAAACATCCTGTTGGTTAATAAGTCACCACCACTAGCTTCCTCACAGTCCTGGTTATTAATTTTCCGCATCGTACTATGCAAAAGTACGTCCGAGACCGGACCGAATAACTGTAATAAACGGCAGCGTTCCTATATTCTGTTTCGAAACACGTTAATCCGAAAGTTTTTCAGATTGTAGTTACCTCGAATATACCCCAACCGAGAACTTTAACCAGCGAATCGTCGTCGATCATCGAATGTGTTTTGGGCAATTTAATGGGCTGCTTCGTGCTATCGTAAGTTATACTGTCGGACAGCTACGTCAGAAGAAATATTAGTGTAGTATATGTTGCAGGAAATAATAAATGATAAATGTAATCGATGATTTATTTAACGAGGTGAAAGCGAAATATCTGTCGAATAATTCATTTTATTATTACTGAATTATTATCACATCTTTTCAAGATGTTACTAGATTCTTGTTTGACTTTAGGATTTATTTAAGGGAGATTCAAATTCAACGAAATCGAAAATCACGATAGACGAAATAGTCTTCAATGGCCATGAATAATTAAGAGTGTAATCTCCGATAGATTCTAACGTTTAAACTGTCTGTTTCTGCTTAATGCATTGTGACCATGCTAAATACCATTTCACGGTGTTCAAACTGATTCAATTTAAACTGATAAAATGAATCACAGAATTAAAATACACATTTACGATTACGAACGAAGATAACTAACAGCAAAGTGCACATTACAACCGATACGAAGTTTCATTTTTAACAAAAATATCAAAGATGTAAAAAAACTAATTTTGGAAGTAACGAATCGATTATTAATTACACCTTTTGATACGTTCTCCGCTTTCAACGTTCGTTTCGATGATATCTTGACACTCGTAGCGGTCACTAAATAGCGATGACACGTACAGTAACGCGACAAGCGAGAATGTATTACCTCAACGAGACCAACGTCGTAGTCGTAATTAATTGCGTTAAAAGCGGGATGTATCACGACGCTTTGGACACCATAAATGTCACCACCCTCGTAATAACGCGACGTGCCCGCTCTCACGTGAAATGCCTTCACTTCTACCCTGTAAAGCGATAAGGAAAAGGAAATGAAAAAAAAAAGAAAAAAAGGAAAGACGCGTGTACGAATCGTGTGCACATGAAAATCGTTCGTCGAGAATGCGGTATGTATTAATCTTGCCTGAGAGCGCACTGCGCCGACGTTATTATCCACTTTTCCCCGACGATACCGCCGCCGCAGAAATGCTCAACTTGGTGACCGAAAAACGTACCATTGTTCTGCAACGAGACCTGCGACGAGAGGCAACGATTTTCTAAATGCCAAATCGACCGTGAAGATCGATCGCACGTTATACTAACCGCAAATGGATATTCCTCTATGGCGACCTTCTCCCCTCCAATAATCCTGGATTCTGCCGGTCCCGGGAATCTCGCTGACTCCGAGACGATTCTTTTTTCGTAATCGGCTGTACAACATTCAAATCAGACGAATCGTTTAATGCGTTTCGCGCGATATCGATACGTTGATAAGTTCGCTCGGTTAATTCCTTTGATACGCGCTCCGCATAACTCTGTTTCCTTTCGCGTCTTTCCATTAATTTTCTTAATTATTTGCAGAAAATATTAATTTGATTACGCGGAAGATAAAGTTACGATACATTTAATTGAAAGTTTAAGGGATATGGAAAATATGGATCTAGTCACAATTTCTGCCTCCAACGGACAAAATGAAATATTTGTTAATTTCGAAAAAGATACCTCTATATCCTACCTATGTTTTATGCAACTAACTAGAAGAATTAAACACGATAAGAAAATTGAATGTTGTAACTGTTGCGCCGATACTATAAAAAAATTAAAACGAACATCTGTTCAACATAAACGTAAACATAGTACACATAATTACTAACTGTTCACTTCGTTTTATTTAAAGACACAATGTATCTTAATGAATCGCTACACACATGATATACCTAACAATTCGTTAATAATCAACACGTTAATTTATTATCGGAACATTGATCGAACTTAATTGGACAAATTTTCAAATAATCTTTCGCAATCTTTCAAACTTGCCATCTTGCGGAAAATATATAACGCAAATAGTATTAATTATAAAATAAACTTCACTCGAACCATATGTGGAAACTGCACAGAATATCGGCGAACCAAAGGCAATCAAGAACAGCGAAGCGTACATCGTTGCAACGTTTGAGGTCATCGAGGGAACCGGGTGTTCCTTATAAAGCCGCAAGTACGTAATTTCTGCATAAACAATGCATCCCCGGAATTACTGTCTCTTTCTTGCATTTATCGGCAGACTGCTAATGCTTTGACATTAAGGCTAAGGCTGCGATATTAAGGGCTAAATCGTCATTCATAACAAACGTGTTTTCCGCGTATAATTAGAGAATGGCTCAAGTTATTAAGATAACGCTGAGAAAAAGATCCGTTGGTCGCTCTATGTCGCAACATGTCATAAATTGGATGCTTTGGTAGAACCCATGCTTATAAAATTCTGATGCTTGTTTAATCTAATCGGACAAATATTGATATTACGTCGTTGTACAGACTATTTGCATTATTAAATGGAAGCAGCTCTTTCTCGATTTGTTATAAAAATGGAAAAGTATAAAGTTTTACTGTTTCTTATACATAATACAGTAACTTGAATAAAATTTTTAAATCTGTTATGCTCTTCGAATAACGATAGGCAGAAACTGAAATTGATAATTATAATTTCGTGTAAATGAATTAACTAAATGAAACCGGTTGGCCGAACACAGTATACAACATAATATTACTCGATATTACTAAAATCCAAATGAAGAAATTTCTTTTGTACTGCTCTCGATGGATTTTATAATCGATAAATGTATTCATTATAAAATTTGGAAAATATTTACTTGACTCTTATACCTCAATGTCTTCGAGCTGTATTGTATTCGTTCCAATACTTATTTTCAGACAGCATAAGAAAAATCATAGTTAACAATATAAAAATATACCTACATCGCTCAATGAAATTTATAAATTTATTCGCAAATGTACGATTTACGAGAGAAACTGTGAAAACTGTTATCGAGTTATAAATAGCTTTTCATTTAAAATCTTCATTTGCCCCATTTTTGAAACGACACGTTAGGGTCCTTCGTTTGATCGAAGATGATGTTATCGGCGATAGGAAAAATCGTTTTTAACATCAATATCGCGTTGAAAGAATCGTTTTATTATTCATACGATTATTCATCGCGGAGCTAATTGACCCGTGTAAATGCGGAGTTAATGTACAAGCCGCCAGCGACTTCGTAAATACGTAACGCATCTGTAATTTCCGCCGTTCTCACTTGTAATGCCATTTTTTAGCAGGAGGCATCGAATTAATTAACCGGTCGCGCGCGGACGCTATTATCCCCAAAAATAATTTCAATCACACGTCACGCTGCACACATTGTCGTAAAACGAATCGTTAACACGAGATAAATACTGGATCTGGCAACGACAGATGGAACGTGTATTCCCATATCTCTGATTGTGTGTTTCTCGCGTCAACGAGTACCAAGTAACGCGATATTTATTATTAAATTAACATATATCAGGTTCGGTTGGAAATTTGTCGCGCTGATCATCGTTCGAACATTCTAATCCTACATGTCAATTTGACCGTTCATTGTTTTTGCTCGTACAATATTCTTATTATCGGTTTCCTGGGGTATATTTTGTTTGATAAATCGACGATATAGCGAGAATTCCCTGCGTACTGCTTTATTTTATTTAATCATATTCAAAATATCATTGATAATCTCGTTCGTGCTCCGTTTGTACCATTCATTTAGCAAAGTATTAATGCGAACGATCGCTGCTTCCATCGATTATACACGACAATGAGCGAATTATTATTTCACATGTTTAATTTCGACCACCGTTTTGAAACTCTGAAACGTTACGTTTCAAAAAAACGTTCCAAAAAACGAGCTGAAATATTTTAAACTGATTAACGCGTTCGTGGTTTCTATGGTTTATGGTTTACAGTTCGTTTATTAACCTTTTGTGATTTCCGTGGTAGTTGATCTTTCGCATACAAATATAGATTCACTGTGAATACATTTGCCGGTTATAACGTAGAATCCTTCTAATTAATCTCAAATGTACGTTAAAGTATTTCCTATTTCAGTCTTCGCGTTCTTCCATCTTTCTCAAACGTTTCATCGTATACCTATAGATAATATCGTTCAGATACAGAAAAAGATATCTGACTGAGAAGTTCGAGCAGCGATCGATAATGACTGATAAACACATTTTAACGATCAAACATAATACTACATAGAACATCGCACTCTTATATAAAACAGTAACTTCCGCAACCTCGGACAATTAAAATTTGATCGTTATTTATCTTATTATTTCGCACAATGTTCCTACCGATATTTATTTCAATATAATTGAAAATAATTACATACAAACGAACGAGCCAAATATTCTTTGAAAAAGGGCATAAAATATATTTTATGTCTTCTAATTCGTCTAACTCGTTTATTATCAATTACCAAAAGCGTCATAGTAGTATCATAAAGATTCTATCGGCAAAATAATTCACAGGAAAACTAAAAGCGTGTAATGCGGAAAAACAAGATGCTGAACGAAAACATTTTGATACGAGTAACGTGCCTAATGAGTCATCAACGAACGCGGAGAACCGAACGCAGACGTTGCGTAAAGAACGCATCGACGTACTTCCGGTTTTGCAAAGTTGGTGAGTAAAACGCGATTTAATCGCCGTTCCATGGTCCGCGTGATATCGTTGACCCGCGAAACGAACACAGAGCTAGTCGCTCGATCGTAGATGCCTCAGCAATTTGACCTCACCGCCGCTCGATGAGCAAAAATTATCGCAACGATTCCCGTAACACGTCGGCGTATTTCATTCGGTTGTTTCCAGCTGGGACACTCTATCCATTTGGCCTTCGCCAATCGGCTCTGCGAAAATATTTTAGCGGGATGCGAGTACGCGAAACGCTTGAATTCTTGTAAAATGTGCATTCGTAATCCGGCGTAGACGCGAATCCGCCATAAATTTGGATAAACGTCGTCCTTCTCTCCCCCTGCCCCTTCCCGTATCTGTCGTTCACCGTAATTTCAATAATCGTATCGCGCCGATACGACGCACACTTCCGATCAGCGTTTTTCTTCTTTCGTTTCTCTCTCTCTTTTTTCTTTCTTTTTTATCAGAAATCGGATTACCGTGGCTGATTGTGAGTCAAGAATCGAGTAAACGCTCCGACAATAAACAGAGTTACATTATTTCTCTTGCGCAATGCTGTCATCGTGATGTGCATTGATTCGTTCGCATTCATAAACTAAAAAAGAACGTGGTTCGATTTGTAAATATACCTACATCCATACGTTGATTCGTAATTTATACATTTTTACACGAATGTTGTGTACAGGTGAACAGCAGACAAAATATCTCTTGGAGAGGAGAGATAAAATCTCGCGTGACTTTTTTTATATCACCGATATATTAATTGATATTCTTGTAACTAATTGCTTTATTTGTATTTAGATATTGCTCGACTCGATATAACTATCATTGTATCAAATACAACGTTTCATCTCAATATTCGATATTTAACACTAAAAATACCACACCGATATAAATAACTGGTTCTACAATTTTATAAATGTGTCAACCCTGCTTTAGGGATCGTCGTCCCAGATGGATTAATAATACCAAAAATGTACTACATAACATGGAATTCCTTCTGTAAGAAAGCAATAAATCAATAAGTATAAAAATATTCCGTTATTACGTATTTTTTAAAGACCAGTCATTTTGATTGGTTTTGATAGAAATAGCTTCGTGTTAATTATCGGTAGTTCTAGCGTTAAATACTTACTTCATCTTTACGAAACAGAAGAATTATACCGATACTTTAAATACTCCCAATTCAACTATCTTTCATTGTTCTTTCACTGACGTATGCTAATTTAATCAGTGATAAAGGAAGAGAGGTACATAATTGAATTAATAACCCGACTAAAAGTAGCAGTGAAACTGAGTTTCAAGTTTGTCAAATTTCCTTCCAAATATTCCTAAAGAAATTATTAAAGGAATATTCCTCGATGAACTTAAATTAAGCGAACAGTTTAAGAAGCTCGTGTATCAGCCGAATTCGGCGCGAACATACGCCGTTGTTACATGTGCGTTGTACAAATTTCGCTATCGTATAGATCGCCTAAATATTATCCATTTTCTGTTAGGAGCGCGTTGGAGGCGCGTAAAAACGTATATATGTATAGCTATCAGCGTATTATGATAAACCGGAATTTCGGAAACTCTAGAGCGTTCAAGAAACTCTTGTGTGTTATGCGTGTGTGTTCGTGTTAAGCCTTCCGTGCAGTGCGTCGTGGGTAGAACCCAAGTATTAGAAGTTGGAAATTTCAACGAAGAGATTACAACGAATTAACCTGGAAGGAAGTTCGCGTATAAGAGGGATGCCGCGTTTACTAGAAGCTCACCGAAGGAATATCGTTCTGTGAAAACTATTATTTCGCAATAGCGAAACGAATTTCGATTAAATTGTCGGCTCGTTTCGACTACAATGTCCCGACACTGAAAGAATCGGTGGATAAAAAAATTGCAGATGTTTGATAGGCGAAGATAACTATTCGTAATAAAATTATATAGTGTAATATACAGAGTGTCCCATTTAAATCGACCTTCGTAAATTATTCATGAAATTATTCACGATTTCGAACACAATACAGTAGGTACGTTGTCAGTAATTTTTCTATAGGTAAAAACGTAGAGGACACGTGAAAATCGATTTTATGTTTACCATAGAATTTGTTCAGTTTAATTTTTAGTTGTTCAATTTGGTACATTAGAATTTTATATAGATATTGAATTTTACTGAATTTACCGTATGCGGTAAAATTTTTCGATGAAATGTACATACATAAAATTTATTAAATTGTATTTATACTATAAATTAAAATTATCCTGTGATATCTGCCTTGGTTTCTTTATAATTACTGAGTTTTATTGTCTTTTAACATCTACATTTTTTTCTTCAGTAGAATTTTTATTTTTTTATTTTTTTTTTCACGATATAGAAATATCTGAAACATGTAACAACTACCCCTCGTCGGCTCTATCACTGTTAATTGCTGTCTCACTTATTGAAATTTTTTTGGAATATGAATTTTTATGCCCTTGTGTAAAGTTGTAAATCGGTAGCGTAGTCCGCAGTTTATATTTTTCCACCTTTTCAATCCATATTGGATATTAACTATCAAATACATTAATTTCTGCGGAGTTCTGTATACTTGATTTAATAATACATCGAATTCACATTGCCTGGCTTTGTATATAGTATAACGAATAACGAAATTTAATACGGAAATTTCGATGGAAGCTTGAGGCTAAATAGGGATCTGAGGAATGTTTAATCGAAATATAAATATTTAAGTACAAACACCCTATTTCGTTTAAAGTTGCATCATGTAAATTTCCTAAAAAAATTTTAACATAATATAAAACATCGATAAATGAAACGATCTTACGAATTCCCGACGCTCTTCAGTTGAAAAACACGTTATCGAAGCATAACTATGATGCGTTCAACGTTAAACAGAGAAGAGAAATATAAAAAGATAAATCAAATATATTTCGATAAGCATGATTAATCCTACAAATGGATTACTCACTTGTATAAACTAGAATTCGTACAGGATTTCGACACCTATATGTCAACAGTACCAGACTTTACATATCGATAAATTTCGTTCGTCGAAATTTTCCCTTCGAGTCACTTTCGGTTCGAGAACGTCCCGATGTAACGTGTCAGAAGGATAATGGTAACTAAATTCCGGCTGAAACAAAACTGAAACAATACGAAGCGAGAGGGTTTTAGCGCAGTTAATCAAGGGCTCTCGTCCCATCAGTCGCGGAAAACGCGTGGCGGTCGTGGTCAGGAGTGAAATTTAAATGGTAATTTTCAGCCGGATTACACGCTGTGGAATTATTCGTGGTCCTCACTTTCGCAGCTCCGGCCGGCTAATGCCGCCTTATTTTCATTGCGTTCAGTCGGCCGTGCTATAAATAATACACGTTACTTCCTTTGCGAGCCGCGTTCATCACATTTATAATACACTTGAGATAGGTATCCGCCGTGCATTCGTTGGATACGGCCATCGTATAATTTTAACGCTACTGCCTGGCCTTTTACGTTTACGAGGGTCGTTTGCCATTGCATTAATTTCTGCGTTCGTCCCGCAACGTTTCGAAACACGTGTCCGCGTTTCTGAAACTAGGCGCGTTTCGCCATTCGCGCCACTTCGTATCAGCCCTCGGCTGCAATCGATACAATACACATCCGTACACGATGCCAAACTGTACGCGTTCATAACGTGCGTTCATTGAATAAATCGCGTCTGTGTATCTTTTCTCCGTTACTCTCTCCCGTTTTTTCCTCCTTTTTTCTCCTTTTTTTAGCTTTTTTCGTTAGCAGGCTCTATTACGTGTGACAAGATTTGCAAGTGTTGGCGTGTACGCGCGAATAAGCAACGATACAACGACGTAGAAAATAGGAGAGAAACCGAAAAAAAGGAAGAAAGAATGATACGCTTTACCAGCCACAAATGGAACACCATTTGTCGTCGTTTCAATTGTTTTATTTCCGGATCGGATTTTATTTACTGCGGAGTAATCGAAATTGCAGTCGGTCGTAGTAAAAATTATATAGAGACCGCGTACGGCGAGAGCGGACGCTGTCGCGTCTACGTTACAGGGTGAAATGTTGCATGGATAAATCGTAACCCATACGAGGCTAGTTCAAATATTATTTTTCCGGTGTTTGTTCCACGGTCGAGTTCACGCTGAAAATGTACACGCGCGGATTAATCAAATACAAGCGAGGCTTGTAAAAGCGAAGTTACGATAACGTCACCTTTTCGGAATCGTCGTGAAATTTTTTGGAATAGACGATGTAGCATTCTTATTCGTAAAAAAGAACTAGACGAGAGTAAGAGGGGGGCATTGCCAAGGATGTCTCTGGTTTTCGTCTCGACTCTAGAGGGTATCGCAGATATGTGCAAGATCCAACGATAACTCGATAAAAGTTCATTTTTATGGTTCGAGCACGTTTAAGCGATAGGTCTAAACGTGGACCTGGCAAAGTCTGGACACCGTACAACATACCTAGATTTACAGAAAAAGAACGTGATAGAATACAATATTGGTATTCTTACTGTTAATATTACTGTCGGATATTATCGTAATCGTGCGCTCTATCGTAATCGTATCTCGTGATTAACGTGATTTCACAGAAGTTGATATCTACTTAAGCTAGTACTCAAGCGTCGATTAATTTTCCTTTCGCTATATGTTTTTCCTCCTACGACCGCATCTCCGTTTCGTTCGTCTCACCAACTCTCGATTCGCTTCCTTTTTCGGCTCACGGCTCTTGTTTCACGCGAGTTTCTACCTACCGGAAATGAAGAACGTAAGTTCGCACCGTGAGAGTGGTTCGCCAACCTTTCTCGCCCGTTGGAACAAAGAATCAAGAGATAGAGTCAAGAGAAAATTTTGTTACGGGCAATCAATGTAGACGCGACGTGGACCGGGAACTATCGGAAAGTTCGCAGCCGTGTGAGACAACGAAGAACGAGCAAAGAGCAAGAGACGAGAAAAATAGGAGGAGGAAACGTGATCAAAGTTCGCCACGATCGTGCGACGGCGCTTACGCCTACGCGACGAATCCACCTGAACGACATAATTTATGTAATATTTCACTGCTCGTATCAAGTCATCGTCGATGTCTTATCAGTTCCGCGAAGAAGTTGATTGCTCTGATTTAAAAGCATACGGTATAGCGTTGAACCTTCAGTCGAGAACCATGTGGCGGATGTTGTTGTTGCTGTGCACGCTGCAATACGCGCTCTGTTTCCAACCTCGGATTATAGGGGGGCAGGACGCGTACATCACCGACTGTCCATATCAGGTGAATTGATCACGGTTTACGCAATTTTGTCGCTAAACATTGAGGAAACCCATGACCAAGTTTCTCTGTGTTAGGTATCCATTCACGATCAACAAAAACTGTTATGTGGAGGCTCCATAATCAGCCAAGATTGGGTGTTAACGGCGGCACATTGTGTTTCAAGGTTCGCATAAGTAGAGTAATGGAACAATCCGGCATCGAATAGATAATTTACTAATTATCGGGACGCACGATAGTCGCGTAACGATGACTATTCACACGTTAAATTGTAATTCTCTTATAGCTTAGGGGCCTGGGAACTTAAAATTCGCTTGGGTAGTACTTTTTACAATAAAGGTGGCACGGAGATCAAGCAGGGGCTTCAGGTAATTCGCCACCCACAATACAATAGCAAGACATTGGATTACGATGTTGCTTTGATAAAGGTACGTTTCTTCACCCCTAATTTTCCAAGTACATTCTAATTTTTTAAGCGTACAGCGTTTCATCATGTTTGGTGTCTCCTTTTCGTTTAATCGAAATTTATATACTTAAATCAACCTCTGCTTGTTTACACTGCGGAAATTTCTTCCAATTGTTGATAGGTGTTTCCTTTTACTAGTCAAAAAGTATAAGATACGATGTTCGTGTTATAATATAGAAAAGGAAATGATTTCTGATCAAGAGCATTTCTAACGATTATTCGATAACATTTTGTTAGTTTGTTTTCCGGTTGTAATGCGTACGTTTAACCAACCAAATGTTTCTCAAACCTGCCAAAATTTTTCTCGAATAACTTTAGTCACAATATTTTGATGACCCAAACTAATATACCACGTACTGTGATAAACAAAATTCTACTTATCGTGCATCTAAAACACGCACAAACAGTTGTAACATTTTCAGTCTGTCAACATTGATGAAAATTAATCCCTGTTACGTTTCTATCTCTTATCTACGATGCATACAATAGTAAGTCACGATCGAAATACAGACTTTTTGAAGGAAACTGGAAGATCTTTGGTCTAAACAATGTTTATCGACTACACCTTTACTTTATTCTCTCGTATCTTTTCCGCGAGAAATCACGTAATTCTACAAGTACACAAGTACTTGAAAATTTGCCATTAAAAAATAGAGATAAATCTATACTGTGACCTTAAAGGATCCTACTCGATCGTAATTTGTAAATTCCATAGCTAAACTTAAAAACGATATCTGTTCGTAGTTACCGCAGAAGATATCTACGAGCGAAACCATGAAACCGATCACCCTGGCGTCTTATTCGAGCTCGGTAAACGCCAGAGAAAAAGCAGTGGTGACAGGATGGGGATATGTGACGGTAAGTTCTTGGCTTACCGTCTTGGATAAACCTGCGTTTGACGCGATCACTTGACAGTTTGGTCAACGTTCACGTTCGTAAATATTAAGATTTGTTTGTCGATCGGTCGACAATATTCGCCGCTTCGAACGCGCTTCACAGACGTTCTGCGCTTCGGAATGGTATATTATTCGGAAGATAATATTCCATTATGTACTTGTAGGAGAACGGTCCGATGTCGACCTCGTTGAGAAAGTTGACGTTACCTGTCCTAGACCAAAAGGAATGCAAAAAGATTTATAGTAACGCAAACATCACGGTGACGGACAACATGATATGCACGGACAGTCCAAACAACGAAGACGCTTGTGAGGTAAATTTCTAAAAGCGTTCTTTTATTCTTTGTTTCTTTCGTTTCAGAAAGTTTTATTGTACCGTCGTATTGCATAATGATATCGAAAGTTTGCTAGATGCGTTACTATTAACGAAACTATTGAGAAACGAAATTTATTTTTATCGATATTTTTAATGTCGCACGACCCATCTTTGTGACTTACCTTTCCACGTACCACAGGGTGATTCCGGAGGACCGTTAGTGTATAACAAAGTCCAAATTGGCATCGTGTCTTGGTCCTTGGGCAAATGCACAGATCCCAGGTTTCCCGGAGTGTACACGCGAGTTTCTGCTGTGCGACAATGGATAAAGGAGAAAACGCAAGTGTAAAATTAATGTCCCTCGGCGTACAACAATCCCGCAAGTCTTAAATTTACAAATAACGTCAGTAAATTTTTGATAAAGACTGAGAATAAAAGTACGTCGAGAAGTTCTATCTATTATCCATCAAATTAATGTACGAATTTTAGCGATTCAAATTTATTCGCGTCGTCATTTCGAGATACGATGACACTAATTTGACAGTATATATAGAAAGATAGAAAAAGTTATATAGGGAAAATTCTGCCTACACTTAGATATATCTTGTTTTGTTTTATTCTGTTCTGTTTCCTTTTCTAGAAACGAAATATCAGAGTTCTTTAAATATCTCAAATATTGATAATTAAAAGGATTCATAAAATAAAAAGGATTAAACTCCGATGATTATCGATCAAGTCTTCTTTTACTCTGGCTTATATACATACGTCGGGTCGAATAATATTCTTATGGGTCCGATACGAATGGGACTTTCAACAATTGCGCGATTCAAATCGTGATTTAGAAGCAGAAAACGAAAAGAAAAGAAAATGAAAAAAGTTAGATGAACTAGACGAACTCATCAGCGAGGCTTATTTAGCAGACTTCGACGTGAATGCGGGAACGTTCAATATTGAAAGGATTCTTCTTTTCCGAGCGTACGCGTGATTTTACTGCTGGTTTGCAAACATTCGAAATTTCGACCAAATTGAAAGTAAATCCAGTGAGTTCGAAAATTTATAGAATCGCAAACAATTTCCGAACCGTGTGATTCAAATGACTCCCACGCTGAAAAATATAACGTTTCTATTCGTTTTGTTTCCTCGAACCTTCTGTAAGAAACTAAAGGGAAACTTTCGTGGTTTCGTTGCTTGCATTCTTTACCGGAAACGGAGCAATGTTTCTCCTTGTTACGAGAAAAAGAGGATCACAACGGATCGAAAGGAATTTAGTTATTAATAAAGTTAGAGTTACTAGAGATTGGAAATTCTATTTGTTCGTTGCAGTTTTTGATATTCAACAGACACGATGCGGCTGAAGCGAGACAACAGACTTGCAGTAACATACGCTCGATTTAATCGCTTCGCTTGAGATCGAGACAGAAGCATGAAGATTATAAACGTAACGTTAATAGTCACGTTACTTTCGATTAACACGTTGTTAACAACCGATTATGTACGTCTTTATATACTTATACATACCTGTAATATCGTGATATGATGTGTGTTTACAAAGGAATGGAAGATAGAAAAGACGATTGTTGTTCAACCTGAACTATTCACGCCAAACGTACAGAAAACAGCACAACTAGATGATTAGAATAGGACTCGACTTTCGCAAAACGCAATCAACACTCTCTCGGTAACGCCACTCGCAAGCTCTGCTTCTCCGCTCGCACGCTGCTTCTCGACTCGCACGCTGCTTCTCGACTTGCACGCTGCTTCTC